CCTAATAAGATAAATTCAGCCGAGACACTTTTAGTTTTCCAGTTAAGTCTGACTGGTATGAAATCAGGACAATGGCCAGGTATTCATCTTAAATCCTGCCTTTCAGCTTGCTGAGTCATGGCTCTCGCGACTCCCTAATTACAACGAATAGCAGTCGGCACATCTTAAAATGCATTTTTATTTTTTTATTAGCAGAATCAGACTATTGGTCCTTGGTATCAAAAATACGCATCACAGGTAAAGAGGACACTGGGGCAGCGGTGGCGGTTGTTACTGCAGGTACCAAGTGATCGCCTTGCTGAGGTGGATTCCGATGGGGAAAGGAGCCTGCTGGAAATTGGGGATGGTGCTGGGCCACTACTGGAGCAAAAGGGATAACAGAACCTTTAGGATGTGCTGGCTCTTTGGGCTTGGAGGACGCAGACAGCCGCAGAGGCAGAGGTTAAGCCCATCGGAGCCACACCTAGCGCACCCGTGGCTGGGATCCAGGACACTGCAGCACGGCCGCCCTCCTCCCCCCAGCCGCTCGGGCACCAACTCTGCAAACGCAGGGCTGCCTCTCTGGAGCAGCAAGATCACAAGCTGCAGTCTGCTCTTGAGGGCCACACCTCAAGCTCCAAAAACTCCTTCCAGGGGTCACGTTTTATTCGGGATGCGCCAGACTATCCAGCACATTAACTCCACTAATGCTTGTATGCGTATGACTACATAGACGTACACACACATCGGTAGCAGTACTCGAAACAGAACACTAATAATGTCTGCGTGGTTTTATTTTTATTGTTTGCAAAGTGCTTGGAGACAAAGAAGGGGCTAATCAAACTGGCCAGGATTCGGGTCTGGGAGGGGCAGTCACAAGCGCTTTTCTACCAAACGTGGTCCAGGCGCCCTTCAAATCACAAAGGCGCTTGGTCTCTCAGTCTTGCTGTTTCTGGTTTGAGGGTCCTTGCCTACTGCTCAGGCTGCTTGATGCGGTTGTAAAAGGGGACACAAAGCTTCCTGCCCCACCACTTCTCTGAAGTCAACCAGGTTCCCAAATGCACACCTACTTCCTTTCTGATGAACAGAGAAGCGTTGCAAATGTCTCATCAGGAGGACACGGGTGCCTCCTTTATTCTGTGACTTATTTATGACCTTAACTCCTGCTGCTTCTTTTAGTCTCCACTTCTCTCTCTCCTTTTTTTTTTTTTTGAGTTGGAGTCTCACTCTGTCACCATCACCCAGGCTGCAGTGCCAGCGGCATGCTCATGGCCACCGCAGCCTTGACCTGCTGGGCTCAGGTGATCCTTCTGCTTCAGTCTTCCAAGTAGCTGGAACTACAGGCCACCATGCCCAGCTAATTTTTCTTGATTTATTGTAGAGATGAGGGCTCACCAAGTTGCCCAGGCTGGTCTCGAACCTGTGGCCTCAGGCAATCCTCTCACCTTGGCCTCCCAAAGTGCTGGGTTATAGGTGTGAGCCATTGTGCCCGGTCTTCATTTTTGATTCTCCACCTTTGCATTCCAGCTAAAACCTTTCCACATCCCAAGTAGGCTTTTTCACGATGCCTTTCCATACATGATTGGGCTTCTGCTCTGAGGCACTCTCAAGGGATAGGGAGTCACGACAGAGCCTGTGCCCTGCAGGAGCTTCTGGAAGATGCGGGCTTGAGACCTGGCTCTGTGCGGCTGTGGGCAGTCAACTTACCATCCCAGGTCTCAGTTTCTTCATGTGTAAAATGAGTTTAACAGCAGTACCCACATTGTACCTGATTCAATAGCCACCACAGGCAAAGTGTGCTTTGTGCAATGCCTGCCAGCCCACTATAAGTATTATTTACATTGTTAGTAAGTGAAAGATAGATATGTAAACAAATGATCACGATATATTAATCTTAGTACTAGCAAAAGGCAGTTCAGAACTCCATGGGTGAGTGAATGTCGACGGTCCTTACTCTGTGCTATACGCAGAGGCAAACCCAGGTCTGCCATCTCAGAGCTGTGCTCATATAAGAGGCCCTGGGGAAATGGGGACCAGATGGGAGGGAAGACGGCATTAAGCCAGTGGAAAGGAAGAGTAAAAGTTGGTCATGTGGACCAGGAGGGGAAACCATTCCAGGGCAAAGGGCCCAGAGCGTGCAAACGTGGGAAAGAGTTGGGCATGGCCTGGGAGTTGCAGGTAGCATGGAAGGCTGGACAGTAAGATGAGATGTGTGCAAGGTTGGGGCCAAATCGCTGGGCATTTACATGCCCTGCAGAGGAGTGTGGATTTAATCCGATAAGGCAGAGTTTTCCAGAAGTATGTTCTGTAACAGGCCAATGCCACAGTATACGCCGAGGGAGAAAAAAAAATACTTGGCGGCCATAAAAGTTAGGAAGAGACTGCACACTGCATACACCTCTTGAGAGATTCAGAAGGCGCATAAGCAAATGAAAGGCTCCAGGACTCTCTACGGTAGAGACACCTACTGGATTTTTTTCCGCCCCGAGTTTCTCCAACTTGTTTGACCATGGGCTGCTTTGTGCCTGGCATCTATTAATACCCTACTTCCTACTTCGGGGATGGGGAGCTGGTGAACAGCAAGAGCATCATAAGCCTGCGTGTATTTTGGGAAGACGGCTCTGGAAGCCAAGTGAAGGACAGACTGTGGGGGAAGCAAGACTGGGACTAGGAGGGGGGCGGCGCGTGCATCCTTCAGTTCAGGGATAATGAGGCGTGAGAGAGTGGAGATGGACGGGGGGCAGACAGGGAGATCTTAGGAGGGAGAAGTGCCAGTACCTGCTGATGGACTAGATAAGGGGATGAAGAGAAGGCTTAAGCAAGTGGGCAGTGGCATAGCTAACAGAGATGGGGAAATGGAGGCGGGTGGGGGACTGAATTCAGGGAAGGAGATGGGTTTCGTTTTGGACAGGCTACAGCTGAGGAACCTCTGGGAAGAAGTCTGATAGAGAAATAAACCATCAGCGATCCCTGTGTGCATGACATGGACAGGAACAGCCAATGAATGAATGGGCGGAGGGAGAAGAAAGTCCTGGAGAGTCTGGGAGTCAAGGGAAGATGGAAAGGAAGAACCATCGAAGCTGCTGAGGAGGAATAATCAGAAAGGAGCTTTAGAAGTGTCATACATATGAGATATACGAGAACATACTTGAAGTCCCTTGTGTCAATGCAGAATAAAAATAATACTAGTTACCATTTACTGAGCAATTACTAAGTGGCAAAGCCCTAACTGCTTCGGACACTCTCAGCAGGGGCAATTAAATAAATAGAATGTTAAAGGTGCCATGCAAAGTAGGTAAAATCTCCACTTCTTCTAATCTAAATTCAGAGTAGGCCTCATTTGCTGAGTTGGAGAAGTCTTGTGGCACGGTCCTGCTTATTACTTAGCCTTCTATGTATTTGTTCTTTATGTCCCCAAATCACTTATAAGTCCTTGGGGAGCAAGGACTGTGTTTTGTGCCAGGCGTGACTACAAAGCTGCTGACCTTGAACAAACCCAGCAAAATCGGCACCTCTAGGTGTGGCTGCCCACGGTCTCTGCGACCGCTCGAGCTGCCTCTGCTGCTGCTTGGTGGTGTGGGATCCCCTTCTGGAGACTGTCGGAGTTGACAAATCACACGTACAAGCCACGTCCGCCTGCTAACCACTCTACACTCCTGCTCCAAAGACACTTGGCTTTTCCAAAAAAAGAGAATCTCCCCCCAGTGAATGATTTGCTTACCAGTGGGGGCATTTAGTAGAACTTGGCACAGTCTCTGGAGTAGGAGTGGCTGCCCCATAGACAACAGTCATGTAGACGTGGAAGCGCCGGGTTACTTGTTCAAAGTACACGTCTCATTACGTCATGGGCCGCACTTGTATAACATGCTGTCATGCACTAAGCCACACTGATCACTTTTTTTGAAGAACATTCTGTTCTTGTTACCACATGGTCGTTAGGTGGCGAGTACCAGTACTAACAAACTTTACATTTTTTTTTTTATGAGTTGGAGTCTCACTCGGTCGCCCAGACTGGAGTGCAGTGGCCGCTCCCGGCCACCGCAGCCTCGCCTGCTGGGCTCCAGTGACCCTTCTGCCTCAGCCTTCCGAGTAGCCGGAATTACAGGCGCGCGCTACCACGACTGGCTGATTTTTTGATTTATTGTAGAGATGAGGTCTCGCTGCCCAGGCGGGTCTCGAACCCGTGGGCTCAGGCAATCCACTCACCTCAGCATCCCAAAGGCGCGGGATTACAGGCTGAGCCACTGAGCCCAGCGTCAAACTTTACATTTTAATGAGATTGATGAGGGGAAGGCCTGGCTCCTGGTGGCAGTGGGGAGAGAAGGAGGCTCAGGGCTGGGGAGTGACCAGGGAGAGTCTGGGTGGTACCTCGGCAGGGTGCTCATTGCGCTCTGGGCGCAAACACAAATGAAGGCTGTCGGCTCCCATTAGCGTCTGCTGTCGTGCTCCACAGCGCCATACGGAGAGTGTGCAGTCAAAAGGAATTAGGGGTTCGCGTGGGTGAACTCTCCCTGAAACAAAGCACCCTCTGAAACAACTCGTCTCCTTTCAACAGCAGCGTTCAACGCGTGCCGCTGTGCCCATGCAGCTTCCCTAGGGCTACACGTGAGTTTCGTGGAGAAAGGGTGTCATCACGTCGTGTCAAAGCAATGCGAATTTTCCTCATGGTTCTAGGAAAAGCAAAATGCTGAACCCTGGGCTATTGATGAGCTGCTTGCCTTGGAAAAAAAATCCATTTCCTCAGAAGACACATTTAATGAGGCAACTGGGGTCTAAGGTGATAAATTAGAAATTCAACTAAGGACATTGGGCTTAGAGGAAAAAGCAGAAGCTTGATGAAAAATGCAAGCAGAGAGAATAAAATGTTTTTTGTAACATGTTCATCTTCACACTGACAAATCCGTGTTTGTTGATCATTTCAGAAATGATTGCTAGTTTTGAATGTCATTCATCTGGGACTCTACTACATTTGTTCTGGGAGACAGAGAATAAAGGAAAAAACGAGATTCCAGAACGCTTACCTTGCCATCTTCTGTGTAGACGTTTTCATTATAGCCCTTTACTATCGTTCGATCAATGAACAGGCTCCGCATGACGACAATCACTTTCAACACCTTTCCCAAGGTCACCTGCCAAAACACGTGCACGCAAACATGAAAGTTACATGCAAATCACAGAAAGTTGCGCAGGACTAGAAGAAGAAGAAGAAATGATTACCTCTCTGTCCCGAGAGAATCAGGAGACACACAGGACGTTCTGAAGGAAGGCAGAGTGTCTGCCACCGTGCCACTACCTGAAGCACAACTCAACAACAGCAAGTCCTTCCTTTAATCACTTAAAGATGTCTTGGACCCCATCTCATCTGACCACCTACATCTATTTATCTTTTTGGCTTATAAACTCTCAGGGTAAGTTTCATCTGTTTACTATCTGCTGGATGAAGTCCTCCCCCTGTCCATTTTAGATGATCTTCTTCAAAGGCTAGGAGCCTGTAATTCTGGCGTTGTGGGATTTGGTGGGCACACTATGCCATGGCTCTATGCATACCCGTGGAATACGTAGAGTCCAATATAGGGAGTAAAGGGAGGTATCAAATACCCCTTGGCTGAACTATCTATTTATAATAACGGCTGGTAAAACTAGAGAAGCCACGCCAAATAAAGTCTGAAGGTAAAAGGAAAGTAGCGGAATTTTCTCTCCAAAAAAGAAACATGATCCTGGAAATACATTTAAGTGCTTTTACTCTCTGAGAACCTAAGCACATATTATGGATTTAAAAAAAAACACCTAAAAAAAGTGTAGTTTCATAGATGCCAGAGAAAAAGGAACCTGCTGTGCTTGCTGGAATAGGCTCAGCACTAAGAATAGAAACAGCACCTTCCTTTCTTTCAGGGGTACTATGGTTGGATGGGGCTGGTCTGTCCCCACCAAAGCTCATGCTGAAATCCAGCCCAATGTGGTGTTGTTGGGATGGGGGCCTTGGCCGGAGGTGCTTGGGTCATGGAGGTGGAGCCCTCATACAAGGTACCTTCTCGAGGTAGTGAGCTCTCACTCTGGCGAGACCGGGTCAGTTCCCTGGAGATATAAAGCCAGGATGCCCCTTGGGTTTTGCCCTTATGCAAGTGTCCACCTCCTGTTTGACATTCCACTGTGTTGTGACGCAGCACAGCACAAGAGTCCTCATCAGAGAGCAAGAAGCCGCGGGCACCATGTTTCTTATACTTCCCAATCAGCAGAACTGTGAGTTAAAGAAATTTCTTCTCAGTCGGGTGCGGTGACTCACGCCTATAATTCCAGCACTTTGGGAGGTGGAGGCGAGAGGATTGTCTGAGTCCAGGAATTCGAGACCAGCCTGGGCAACTTGGCAAGAGCCTGTCTCTAAAATAAATCAAAAAATTAGCTGGGTTTGGTGGTGCGCGCCTGTGGTTCCAGCTACTTGGAAGACTGAGGCAGAAGGATCACCTGAACCCAGCAGGTCGAGGCTGTGGGGGCCGTGAGCATGCCACTGCCCTTCAGCCTGGGCAACAGAGTGAGATTCTGATTCAAAAACAAATAAACAAATACATAAATAAACAAATTTATTTTCCTATAAATTACCCAGCCTCAGGTATTCTGTTACAGCAAATAACAAATGGTCATGACAAGGAGCTCATGTGGCTCTTCTAATGCTTTGCTGAGCCTTTTCACTTTATATATGAGACCCTGGAAGCAGACTCTGGCCCAGGATCCACTTGCGGCCCATGGTCCTGGCTGTCCTGATGGGATGCTGACATTACGGAATTAGCTGAAAGGAAGGCCTGCTGGCCAGCATTAAGAGCCTCGGCCCCACGCTGCGATTCGGACCCTTGGATGCCAACCTGCCATCAGTTTTTAATGTGTCACTGACAGTCACCCTTTCCTTATTCCCCTGTTCCTTGCAGTTGTTCAACAGTCATCCCCAACAATGACCTTTCCTCTTTCCTTGATTAGTCCTGGGTATCAGGGAACACCCTCCCCCCGCCCCGGTTCCTTCAGTAATTTTAAGTGCTAGGTTGAACTCTATTTTTTTTTCTGTTGTTCAGGCTGGAGTGCATGGCACCATTATAGCTACTATAGCCTTGACCTGCTGGGCTCAGACAATCCTCCTGCCTCAGTCTCCCAAGTAGCTGGGGTTTCAGGCATGTGCTACCATGCCCAGCTAATTTTTTGATTTGCAGTATCATGCAGATAAAGTCTTGTCATGTTGCCCAGGCTGGTCTTGAACTCCTAGGCTCAGACAATCCTCTCGCTTCGGTCTCCTAATGTGCTGGGATTATAGGCGTAAGCCACTATGCCCAGACTGATGTCTTTATTTTTGTATGCCTACTGTGGCACAGAATATACACGGGATAAGAAAAATACATTTGTTTACATTTAAAGGAATGCTAATCAAGACATCCTCTTTCTTCTTCTTTTTTTAAATATCTTATTTCTGTATAGTACTTTTACATATTGTCACATCATGTAACATTCGATGGGTCATTTTTTATGCCACCAAAAATCACTATTTGAGGAAGTCAATAAACCACAAAAGTAGGATCAGCATTTCTCTCTTTAGAATGTAGCCTACCAGAAGGGGGGAGCAAGGTAGGGGGAGCAATTGAGTTATCGTTTTGAAATTATAAGTACTAAAATCAGTAGCTTCTCACTAGGCAATAGTTGAAGTTGGTCCAACACACCTTCTCTAGAAGGGCCGCATTTTTTACTGTATGTTTTAACTCTCTTTGCTAATAAGTATAGATAACTAAGCAATTGTTTCCTTAAAATACTGAAATCTAGTTGACTTCAGTTAACTGATAAACTGCCTTAGTAATTTTTTAAGTTTCTTAAGGTAGAGTTCAGGTCAGGCTCAGTGGCTCACACCTGTAATCTCAGCATTTTGGGAGGACTGCCTGAGCCCAGGGGTTCGAGACAAGGCTTGGCAACTTGGTGAAGCCTCATCTCTATAATAAATCAGAAAATTAGCTGGGTGTGGTGGCGTGTGCCTGTAGTTCCAGTTACTTGGAAAGCTGAGGTAGAAGGATCACATGAGCCCAGCAGGTTGAGGCTGCAGTGGCCATGAGCGTGCCATTGCACTCCAGCCTGGGTGACAGAGTGAGACTCCAACTCAAAAAAAAAGATGGATTTCAGAAACACACACTAAAGACACTAGAAATTTTATATTAAAAATGTTTTTGTTTTAAAAGTTGATTTTGGTATTTTAAAGTTAACCTATATACTTAAAAACTTAAAAAATAAATGTGTATTATGGAAAAATCTAAAAGAATTAAATATTAAAGAAAAAGGGTGTAGTGGCTCATGCCTACAATTCCAGTGCTTTGGGAAGTTGAGGTAGGAGGATTAAATAAAGCTCAGGAATTTGAGACCAGCCTAGGCAATAGAGCAGGACCCCATCTCTAAAAAAAAAAGTGAAAATATTAGCTGGGCAAGGTGGTGCACACCCTTAAGTCTCAGCTACTGGGGAGACTGAGGTGGGAGACTGCTTGAGCACGAGTTTGAGGGTGTAGTAAGCTATGATCAGGTCACTGCACTCCAGCATGGGTGACAGAGTGAGACTCTATGAAATAAATAAATAAAATTAGAGAAAAAAAGAAAATAATTGTTCATAATCTTCCCATCCAAAGATAATCACCTTTAACTTTTAAGGTATGTCCTTTTAAACTTTTTATTATCAAAGATTTTGGGGTTTTGAATTTCTAACAAGGTTATAGTTGAAACTTAGATATATAACTTCAAATCAAATTTTTATTTAAAATTATGACAAGCACTGTCCCATATTGCTAGGTAGTCTTCACAAATAGTATTAGAGGCTACATGGTATTCTACTTAGTGGATATATTATAATTTCTTTAGTTTTTCTCCTATTGGTGAACATTTAGGCTGCTTCCAAGTTTCCCCTAATATAAATATGGCTGAAATATACACTTTTGTCCACAAAGCTTTCATTACTTTTGGGATTATTTCCTTGGGGCAGATCTGCAGCACTGTCATCATTGGGATAAAAAAGTACAAATATTTTAAGACTTTTGATATAATCTATCAAATTGCAAACCACGCGGGTTATACCGACCAGAAAGGTACAAACACAGCTATTGCACTCCGCTTTTGTCAGCAATGGCTGCTATTAAATAAAAACAAAATAAAGTCCAATGACATCCCCACCAGAGTACCAACTTAATTGAAATCTATTATGGAAGATTAAAAACTATACAGAAGTAAATGATTTAGCATGAAGGATGCTATGAACCAACACCGACTTCAGCAACGACCAGCTGGATAATCTTGAGTCACCTGCACCTTCAACTCCTCTTCCCTCCCTGATGTTACCTTAGTACAAATGACAGCCATGATGCCATTTCATCTGTAAATATTTCAGCACGTATCTCTCAAAGGTCTCTGAAAACAAAACAGCATAACCACAATACCACCGCACGTCTAAAACAACTCCCCCATATTATCAAACACCCAGTTTAGCCAGTGGTCACCTTTCCAACAGTCTCATAAATGCTACTTTCTACAAGGTTTGCTTATATTGGGATCCAATCCAAACATGGTCTAGACAGTGTGATTCATTGACATGTCTCCTAGTACCTTCTAAACTTGAGTATTCCCCCCAATCCCCTTCCCCGACTTTTGTTACAGAGACTGGGTTATTTTCCACAGAGCTTTCCATAGTCTGGGTTTTGCTGATGGCACCCCCGTGGGATATTTTATCCTGTTCCTCCTTACTCTGTACTTCCTGCAAATTGGTAATTAGATGAGATGTGGGTTTGATTATTTTTGGCAAGACTTCTGGGGCTGTGGTAGACCATGGATAGTCAGTGTTGTGAAGTCTTGTGCTGGTTTCCTGTTAGTATCTTTCAAATCTATAGAGCGCTATGAAGTCTGTCAATTCTTATCTTTTACAGAGCTAGAAAAGTCCCTGGTGCTCTCTGAAGTTGAACAGGCATAGAATTATGGCTGTCAATTTGTAACATACACATGGCCATAGCACATACAACGTTGAAACCTAATGTTCAGAGGTTTTGGAAATCGGGTCCTGGCTTTGCTATTGGAATGCCTGGTCCAGTTACCTACCTGGTTTGGATATCAGTTTTCTCCCAACTCA